AATTATTGGGAAAAAGTGAATATTTTTTTCAATCCAATTCTACTGATTCATTTATATTTTTAATACGATTTAAAATTAGTTTATTACTTTTAGTTATAATCTTCGCGATTATAAAATACCATGCATACAATGTCCTTTACAAATTCGTTCAAATAATGCTGAATTTCAAGTATGTCAATTCGTGATATTTACTTTAACCGTTTAAATTTATAAAATTATGTAACCAAGTACAATAATATGATGTTTTTTTTTTATACATTTACCAGTAGTCTGTGTTTAAGTTTTTTTCAATCATTAAAAGCCTAATTTTAAGCTCTGTACTTTTTGCTACTCAAAATATTGAAACAACTGCTCAAATTTTAGACAGCAGTAAACATTTGTATTCTTTTTTGTCATTGAAATGTTGTTATAAGTGTGCGTGTGTATTTGTGTAAATATAAGGCACAATGCTTGGGTATATAACTGTATTCATAAATATATGTAGATATGTATATTAAATAATATATTCATAACTGTATGCGCTGTCTTGTTGTTTTTATAATAGTATTGAAATATGTATATTTTAGGTCTTCGGCATTCGCACAGAAATTAAATTAAATAAAGAGAACAAAAAAATAAATATATATTTTTATATGTAAAATTTTATAAGTGCTTTAAAAAATTTTGAAATCAAAATTCGTAATATTAAGAGAATGGATATAATAAAAATTCATTAATTAATGTCAAAAAATAGGAAAAAAATAATTTTATTTTGAAAAATATATGCATCATTTAGATAGTAAATAGCTGATTACAAAATATATTTTCATGATATTAACAATTTCAATTAAAATTATATAATTGAATGAAAAACTTTTTCATTCCGAATTAATAATTATATTTTTTAGCTCATTATACTGAATACAAAAATATAAAAAATAATTGAATAGGGGAAATACTCGAAGACGTTTCAAAAAATTTATTTTTTATTGCTCTTATCGATAAGTATGTACATGCTCTAAGAAAACTATCACAAAATTACAAAAGATCATTTTAAAAATTGTGAAAGATATGCCGCTAGAAAGTGGTTGGCGCTTTCAGCATGGGTTGACAATCACGCCTACTTCCTATATAACACAGCCAATTCCAACCGCTTCTTTATAACTTTAAAATGGACTCTACAAATTGTCGAAATCGGATCATACCTTTAATGCAATAAAGATATTAGTACATCTTTATGTAAAAAATAGCTCAAACACGACAATAGTGCCGTAGCCTATGAGAATATACCTAGAATATACCTAAAATCGGGTGAAAACTTGGCCTAGCCCTTATGCACCCAGTCAATAAAGTATCGGGAATTCTTCATTGCCACACCTCATCATAGTTAAAGAAAGTTGTACCAACCTAGGAAAAAAGTTAACCTGTCTTCCATATAAGCGGGAGATTTAATGAAGAATTCCCAACAGCTTCTGGACAAGGTGTATAGCTAAAATTAGGACTTTCAAACAAATGGTTGACTTTACACCTCATATATTGTTCAGAAAGTGTAGGTATATAATTGAAACTCAGAGAGCTTTTTTGCTTGGTAATGATGATTGGATGTCGTAGTGTCAAAAATATATGAAATCGCGTTAATACTACACGTAGCTTCCATATACCTAAAATAAGAATGGTAACTTCCAGTTGGGATTATACCGTATATACGGGTAAATGTGTAAAGTATCCGATGAAAATTAAGTGAAAATATAACACTGAGTACCTTATAGTCTACCGAGTACCTGAGTACCTACCCGATCGACCAATATGTCAGCCAGTGAGTAAATTGTCTTCACAATCCGGCCATACTTTTCCTGTCCCCAATAAACTCAGTATAGTGGTTTCCGACCTTCCAGCTGTTTAGGTTGGTCAAACTTATGTAAAATTTTATTGAAATTAAGTGAACGATTCATTTAGAAAGTTATACATTAAGATAAAAAATCACTTTGAAATGATATTTAAAAAAAACCTAAGTTAGTAGGACTGTCCTTAATTTCCATGCCAAATATGAGCGCGATCTGTGAACCAGTTTGTTTACAGTAGCTCCTGAATTCGGTGAACCTCACAAGTGCATGCGTTGCGATTTTTACAATGAAATAAAATACGGAATCAAGAATTTGTCTCAAATTTTGTAATTCTAACCAATTTTCGTATGCGGTTCGTTGCCAATATTGGAAAAGGCTTACGGTGATTCAGTTTTATTAAAAAACACAAGCCTACGATTGTTACAAAGTCTTCAAAGATGGTAGAGAGATCATTGGAGACATGCCACGTTTTGTGCCTTCGACCTCTTCAACTGATGAAAATATTAAGAAAGTAAAGGACCTGGTGCTTGAAAATCGTCTGGCAAGTGTTAGAGAGAATGATCGCGAGGGAGCTCGACAACCCTCGCGAGTCCATTCGAATGACTTTGGATATGAAACGCGTTCTTGCTCGACTCAACCAAATAAAACTGATTTTTTTGTTTTCAAAAAGGGTACCGTATACAGGTCTCTTTGTACAGGCTTGATCGTGCGAATTCCGATCCTACATTCATGTTGTGCATTATAACTGTAGACAAGACATGGTTTTATGAGTTTCAAGGTAACAATCACCAGAATGGAGGGAAAAACGAGCCGAAACTAAAAAAAAACCACACCAAAGCCGCTCAAAAATCGAGTTACTGCTCATTGTTTTTTCGGCATTCGTGGTTTGGTACATCGTGAATTTGTTCCGAAGGGAGCACGGCTGGAATTGTGGAAGAACAACTCATGGATTTTACACGATGATAATGCACCATCGAATGAGTTAAAACAAAAGTCACTGAAGGAGCTGAAAGCCATCCCAAAAAGTGTTTAGAGGACTGGAACTTATATCTGGTGGGCATTACTTTGAAGGCGACCAAATTAAAAATAATAATGAATAATTAAATATCTTGCGTTCTATTTACAATTTCCAGTTCCTTTTTTTTGTCAGAATGAAATATGAAAAATCCCGAAGAAGTAAAATGTTTCGGCTTTTGCGGATACTTCCCCCATTAATAAGAAAAAAGTAAAAAAAAAAATTAATTTAGCTAAAGATTACGATTAAGATTATTTAAGATATACGATTATTAAAGTGTGCAACAAGAAAATTAATAAACTAAATAATAAAATATATATGTATATTTAATAATCTTAAAAATTACTGAGTTGTAAACTATTTACATCTCTGAAAAATTAAATAAAAAATAAATAAATATAAACTATTATAAAAAATAGGTAGAACCAAGGAAATTATTGAATTTTGTAAAGAAGATTATTATAAATAACTAAAATAAAGCAAATATTCTGCAGAATACATTTAAAAACCATTTTCAAAGCGATGATTTGTGCAGCTGAACACAAAACATCAAAGTGCAATTCGAAAATAGAGAAATACACACACGCACACAGCTATATTAAAAATATATGCAAATAGCAAATAATATTCGATCAATGCAAAGCGCTTACACATTGTAAATTCATGGAATTTAGTTTAAAAAAAACTCAAAAAACATTTTTTAACACAAATAATTTGCATTGTTTGCACACTAACACCAATAAAAATTGAAAACTAACAAACATTTTTTTTCTGCTTTATTTTTGCATTTAAAATTAGGTTTGTTAGGTGATTATTTTTAGCGCATAACGGAGATTTTGGTTTGTATTTTATGGCAAACGATTTAAGTGAGTTTTAATATTCGGGTTTTGCTTACATTTATCAATATTATTATTTTGTTTTTTTTTTTTGACAAGAACCACAAACATACACATATATATTTTGTAAGAAAAACACATAATAAACGCGCACGCCGTTTATTCGGCATAATTAAGACGCTTATTTGTGGGGAAGTGGGTGAAAATTGTGCATACTTTACCTCCTTTTTCGACTTCAATTCCTCCGAATTGAAACTGTTGAGCAACAACGCCAAGAACAAGTTTAGCACCATGAAATTGCCCATCACTAGCGTTGGCAAGAATATGGCAAAGCACGATGAGGCGCCCTGCTCCTCCTCCGCACGCATACAATCCCACAACGGCTCAATCCACTCACCACACAATATGCGAAATATCATCATGAACGAATGGAAAAAATCGTTAAAATTCCACCTGCAAGCACATTTTCATAAATTCACAAACATTTATTGGAAATTTATAAATAATTTCTATTTCATTGGCATACCTTGGCACTGGGTCTGGATCGAATTTCTCGGGTGTGTAATCTTTCGAAAACAATTGCATACCGATCACAGCGAAAATATATATGACTATAACTAAAATCAGGGTAAGATTACCCAAAGCACCTATTGTCGATATGATAATGCTGAGCAGCACCTTCATTGTGGTCCAAGATTGCGCTAACTTGAGCACGCGGAGCTGTTCGTAAGTAAATTAAAGTATAATCTTTACACAAATATATGAAAATCAAGCGTTACACACCAAACGCAAGCCCCGCAGCACACTAAGACCATCCACCAACTCAAATATAATGTCTAATAAACTGGCTGTCACAATGATCAGATCGAAAATGTTCCAGCCGCATAGAAAAAAATCCTTCGACAATGCCATTAACTTAATGATGCATTCGAATGTGAAAATCGATGTAAAAACCTGTCGGAGAGAACGTGTATTTTTTTATAAAATATAACTGCAAGTGGCAGGAGTGTTTGAGTTACGCACTTTATTGCCAACGTCTAATGCATTGCGAAAGTTCTCACTCATGCCATGATGCTCCATGGCCAGAAATGCCGTGTTTAGAACTATGCAGAGCGTTATGGCTAATTCGAAAAGTGGATCACGCACCACCTGCAATAGAAAAATAACAACAAATAATAAAAATTCGATTTATACCATTAAATTGTGTTCTTTACTTTATAGAGACAGTTCTGGAACTGCAGCCAACCTTCATAGTTGACGCAACATTGTATGCATCTATCACAATTACGATCGGGAAGATCATCTGAGAAAATAAAATATTGATATAAATATATGTATGTACATAAATAATAAAAATTACATGCTCTGATCAAATTTGAACCGAATTGACAAATAATAATAATTTTCACGTTTCTTTATACAAGTCTTTAATCTTCGTAGTAGACTCATTTTAAGCCAACACAAGCAAGCCATTTTCATTATACATACTTGGAAAGCGAGAGCGAAAAACCCAAAATTCGCTGAAGAAATTGAAGGTCATCCCAGTGTATAAGCCTCGGCTGGGATAACCATCAGTTTCTCCGCGAATTTTTACTATTTTCTGGAGCGTTTGGAGCGACATTTGCTAGATTCTTGGACAGTTTCAGAGTCGTATTCATAAACTCAGATTTCGCCACCAGTATCTAATGGATTTAATGAAGCTAGGGTCCTCGCTACGTTGCCAGCATAATTTGGTCGAGTCGAGCTCCAACCGCATAAGCGGTGTCTGCACAAATAAATTAGCAGAAGAAGAGCTTTAACGCGCTTCATACCCAAAACTCCCAGCCGCTATACCAGAGGTAATTATGGACCTCACTCCGCCACATATTGTTGTGGAAATAGCAATAAAAAGCTTCAAGGTAAGAACAGGGTAGTAAGCGCTCATAAACAGCGTACCATTGGAGAGAGTCTACCTTTGGTAATCTTTCCTAAGTATGACACTACCTAGAAAACTTACTTTATAAAGGGATTTAAAGTCTCAAGGGACTGCAAAAGTGAGTCGGAGTACTCCATCCTTGAGGAGTACCTTCGTAGGAGTACAATGCAATGGTATACAGACAGCTCGAAATTGGCAAACTGAGGTCTATGCGATTACCAGATTGGCAGAGATTATTCCAGCGAACAACTATCCCCGGAAAAATTTGATATCCGGATACGGAAAGAAGTAATAGAAAACCCTACTGGCTACAAGTGTCTGGGCTTCGAAAGACGAGGCTGTTTCTGGAACAGTTCGTAACAAAATGGTTCAAGAAACTAAACGCTCTTCCCAGATATACAGTTCACGGCAGTCTGCGGTGTCATCTGCGCAAGATAGCGTGGTGTTCCACGGATCAGTGTTGCTTCTGCGACCAAAGAGCGGAGACACCGGAGTACAAATTCTCTAATAAGACTCTTTGATTAGACTGGTTTAAACAAAGTGTTGTAATAACAAGAGGGGACACATTAGACCACGGGTAGCAGTGCATTCCTCAAATTTCAATCTATCTATTTATTCAAAACTTTAACTAAAATATGTTGAGTCAATCTATAAGAGATGTTGACATCCTCTGCCAACACAGAGGTTTTCAAGCAATGTATCGTGAAAAAGGTTTTTAACAGCGTTGAATAGTCGGCTCGCATGAAAGTAGCCAATTCGACGCAAATTTGATCAGAAGCTCAAAAAAGATTATACAATATTTTTACAAAAAGTAATTAAAAAAAAAATAATAATAATCATTCATTAACTCACCGATCACCACAATTTCCGAGGAGAATTCCTGATGCAGCGCATAAATGTTATGCTTCTTAATGCGCGCAATGTTGCCATTGCACTTGATGAGCCGCACCTCGCGCGGCGACAGAGCCAACGTTACCGAGGTCAACTCATTTGGCAGCTCCACTGTGGATACATTGACCATTTCGGTGCCGACCTCTTGCTCCTCATGATCATCCACCACACCGGAATCGTCTTGCGATGACTCGCGATTCACACCACTGGAGTTGGAGCTGGCCTGACGGCTGCCAGGCAGCAATTGTCCTTTATAATCGGATGGATATAACATATTGGGATTTTTATTGCCATCTTCTTGGAAGCAAATACGTGTGCGAGCAGTCTGCGCCTCTTTCGGTGTTAGCGCTTGTGGTGTTGGTTGTGATTGTTGCTGTTCCTTTAGTTGTTGCTGTTGTGCAATGGGTGTTGGCAGCAGTTGTTGTTGCTGCTGCTGCTGCTGCTGCTGTGGGGTTGTGGTGAGCTGCAATTGCAGCTGTTTGGGACGTTCAGCATTGCTGTGGCGTGGACTGGGACCTGGGCTGGGCGTAACGGATCTACTTTTATTCTGCAAAATTGTGTGAAAATATTAATAAATATAAGAAATTAATTTAAGAAAGTTGTGGCAATTTACTTGGCCATTTCCGTTGCTATCGTTATTGTTGTTGGCACCATCTTTTCCACCTTTCACCTTTTTTCGGCGTGTCTTCTTTTTGCTATACGACGCTAGCAGTACACCCTTACGCGAATCGATCTTCTTCTTATTGTTCTTATTTAATTTTTTTACATTTAAAACGGACGGGTCGAAGCTAAATGTTGAATCATCGCGATGATCCAATAAGTCTTTCTTGCGTTCCTAAAAGTTTTAATTAAAATTAAAATGTTTCAATAAATGTCTGTAAGTTGGGTTATGGCAACTCACTTCGTTTGTGATTTCGGCTTCTTCCTCGTAACTTAGTGCAACTACGGCTAACATTAGATTAATTAAATAAAATGAGCCAAAAAACACAACCACGGTAAAAAATGACACACTCATGGGACCAGATGTGGCCAATACCTGTAATAATAATTTTCATAAAATAAAAAAAAAAAAAAAAAATATTATTTTAAATATCCACAATAACGCTCACCATATTGTAAACGTTCTCCCAATAGTCCAATGTAATCAACTGGAAAGTTGTTAGCATGGACCACATAAAGTTATCGAAGTTCGTATAACCATGATTCGGGTTCTCACCCACGCAAAGGCAAGTGTAATCCGTAGGGCAGTGGCGAGCGCCAGTTAAATTGCCACAAAGCATTGGCATTTCCTCGTCGTCGTACAGCCAGTTGTCGGTGTCGTTGATCCAGCTGTTGACAACGCAGGAAGATAATGAAAGTAGGGTTAGGAGTAGTCAGACTTAAAAAAAAAACTGTTTTTGTTTTTTTTGCATTTTCCCTAAGTATAATATTTTGGACATATTCACTTAACATATTTTATTCTATAATTACAAAGAGTTCTTTAAAATCCTCGTCTTTCCGTGTCTATGCGTACACCTAACCCTAAAAATATTTGTGAAATCATTCATTACGCACCTGCGCCACTCCAAGTCTGTGGTATTAACCCAATCGTCTGGAAGATTTCTCACACACTTATTTCTCAGTTCACCCATATAAACCTATTGCGAAGAAATATAAATTAATATTCCGCACTAAAAGTTATACCGTTAGTTTTTACATACCTGTAGTGCGAACAGTGCAAAGACCATTAAACAAAAAATGGTTAATGTCATGACCTCGGCCAATTGGCGGAATGAGTGCAATAGTGCATTGATGATAGTCTTTAGTCCTGGCATTATTGAAACAGTCTTTAGGGCGCGCAACACGCGAAATGTACGTAAACCGGCCAGATTGCCCACCTCCATGCCGATAGTGGCATAACCACTTGTTATTACAACAAAGTCCAACCAATTCCATGGATTGCGTAGATAGGTGTACTTGTTGAGTAGGAAGCCTTTGGCAACGATTTTGATTACCATTTCAATGGAGTAAATTGCTAGGAAGATATATCTGCAAACAGGAAAAGGATGTGTATATCAACATTATATGCTGTGGAGGTTATGTTTTGCTTTACGAAACTTACTCGGCCTCCTCCACCGTCTCGGTCATGGCTAAAAAAATGCAGTTGAATAGAATTGTGGCCATGACGCAGTAGTCGAAGAATTGATTCGTTGCTATGTAGACGCATACCCGACGTGCTGTACTCCATGGATGGAAAAGGAAGAGACTCTTCGTACCGGTGAAGCGATGTATGTAGTTTTTCCGAAATCGTTTGGAGACTACACAGAATGTCTGCAATGAAATAAATAATTATATTAAATATTTGTAAAAATACGTTGTAAATTCTTGAAAATTAAATCAAGTAAAACAATTAAATTTTACATTTATTAATTGGACGCTTAACCGTGCACTCAAATTAGAAAAGCCTTGCGGGTGTTTAGTATAACTAATTTCCTGTCAGCAAATGCACCGCTCTGCGACATCTGGTGGCGTTAGGAAAAATACAACCCTGAAACATTCAGCGCATGCGTTTTGTGAGCCAAATGTTGGCAGCGCTGCTCAGAAAAAGTTGTCTTGCGAATGAAGTTCCGTTCATCTTTCTTTCGTTCTTTAACCGTCTTCGTGTGAAGAAAGAAAAATGAGAGCTAAGGTAATTTTCTCATAAAAGTGTACAAAGTGTTAAAAAATATTAAACCAACAATTGGAATTTGATGTTTGCAAAGTGTTAACAATGCTTATTTAATTTCAAGGAGTTTTAAAATACTTTTTACATTGTTTAAAAACATTTTGGTGCGGCCGGCCGCCATTGCTGTAGATTTGCGTAGACACACGTGGTTGAATTGACAATTTTGCTGAAAATTTCTTGCCATTTGTGAATTTTTCTAATTTTGTGTATTTTTTGTTTTTAAATTATAGTGGCGTAAGAAGCGTATGCGGAGGTTGAAGCGTAAACGCAGGAAGATGCGCGCAAGGTCCAAATAAACCCGTTGACGGCGTTGAAGAATGTAAGTATTGGTTATTACAGCGTGAAACGCTAGCGCTCCAAATGACTTGTAACTAATTCACATTTATTTTTGTTGCAGGTTTTTTACACACTTCAACCTGACATCTCATTAAAAAGCTTCGAGTAAAAGTTCGCTACCAAATTTTTGGGCGCGTTTCGGAAAGTTTACATTAAAGTGTAAATTGTTTGAAATAAAGAATTTCTTTAAATTTTTGCTGGAGGTGAAAAAATTATAAAAAGTGATTTTTATTATTTGCAATGGAAGGTGAACTTCAGATGTAGTATACACATAATATGTGGATTTTAGAACTACTCGCATAAAACATTTGTTCAAATAGCATACCACGTTTTAAGCATAACCTCAAACATATAACAGTGTGACAAATCAAATAGTAGTTGTTGGTCGAAAGACGTTCACAGATGAAAAACATGTGCTCGACAATTTGATATGCAGTTTTTATGTTTATCTAGTAGGGGGTAAAAGTTATATTATTTCAATATTACGGATAATGTGTTTTATAGACCTATTGGCTTAATCTTGTTTAGATTGAACGAAAATGGTCATTTGCATTACTAAATGGAGGGATTAACAGGTAATAGCGATAGTGACTCAAATTTTACATTCTTGGGGAAAATTTTATTGTAATATAATGAACATATGCCCCAAAGATTTTCAAGTTTCATGCCCGATAGCCCTTATTAAACAGAGAGAGAGTAGGTATTTGGATTGTTAGAAAGTTGGAATTGAAGTGTAGCTCAATTTCGCTACTGTCTTTTCTATATTTTGAAAAAAATTGTAATGTATGGTTCGAGTTAGGAAATTAGCTGAGTATTTTATTAGTAATAAAGTATTTTAATATGCGTAAAGAACTTGCGAATAGAATAACTGCAATCAGAAAATTCTTCACACTGCTGTATGTACAATATTCGGTAGGAAACAAACAATTTTGCAAGAAACAAAATAAAATGGATGTGGGAATTCTAAGCGATCTAATTAATGTAAAGATATTTGGAAACATTGAAGTTTCTTTTCAAATTAGTTTTGTATGTAGTTTACACCGGCACTAAACATTCATCAAGTAGGTTAGGCTTACTTGAATAAGTCCCGAAACATGTGTTTCAAAATTTGGAAAAGATCTTGGAACAATAGTAAATGTGTAATTTATACAAACGAATCCCTTTAATTTTCTTTTCTACTTGTGGATTCAACCAGAGAACTTACAATGATTTTACAGTTCAATTGTTTTAAGACTTAAAGACTTAAGAAATCTGTCTGTATATTTTCACAGCTCACATTTAAATAAATAAATAAATTTATTGTTCAATTGTTTTACGATCTCTGTGCTGGCTTGTTTGAGTATTTGGGATGATATTAATGAGAGTGATTTCCGGTTGTTTAAGCTCAATTATAGTAAAATTAACATATTTTTTTTTTCATTAAGAAAAACTTTCTAAACTATTAATATAAAGGTAGTGAGTATCATTTTCCACAAATGAACTTGCATTTATGATATTTTATGTGTGCCTCTTTTCAACGGCGAATTCGTAGTTAAATATTTTTGTTGTTATAGCTTTGTAGCTCACTAAAAAAGAACCACTGCCATGTGATGCTATTTGAATTTCGTTGATCCAGTGTCGTGTCAGATATCAAATATGTCTGTGTTTACTAAATATATTAGTTTTCAATCATAACAAAGATAAAATGAGCTTTTGGTCTAAATTTTAAATATACTAATTAAACTTAAAGATAATTTGAACTTGAAGGCACTTTGACAAATTATAACAATTAACATAAATCTCTAGTCTTTACATCTGGCAAAGCTCTCAGTGTCGGCAACATCTGGCTTCGAGTTTCGAACACCCCTTCTATTGTTTACATTCGTTTCGCCGCGTCGTTTGCTATCGTATGGAAAAGTAGCTTATAGCGTGGTCAACAAGAATATTTGTACATTTTGCGGTAATTGTGTAACAGAAAAAATTGCGAATTATGCAATTTTGAGACAAAATTTGTGGCATTTAAATAAAATAATAATTTGGTGAGTGCAATAGTAATTTAATTATTCGCAAAAATGCGGCGTAATTGTCATTTTGTTAAATGTCTAATATTCTTATTGGGATGAGCTTACGGTTATCGGAGTGCGAGTGCTTATTCTTGTTGTTGCGCCAAATGATGCTTTTGCGGTTAAAGCGTGTATTTTGTGCATAGCAAATTGTGCGTGAATGTGCTAATTTTAAATGAAGATGCCAACTTATACATTTATGCATGTGTATAATAAATTGCTTGAAATTTATTGAAATTCTACAAATAATTTTGCAAAATGTTGCTTTTCCTGCACTTTCAATTATTGTTTTACTAAGAATTCGAAGTCATTAGTAAAAATGAAAACCTTCTATGGTTTGTCTGTTGATATTAGAATTTAAATAATCAAGGACGTATCAAATAATATTAATGACGAAAATATAATATATGCGCTCTTATTTGATTGAAATGACCACAGCTGTACATTTTTTGTTGCGCATTCTTTCGAAGTTCTCTGCTTTTGGTGATGTGACTTCGAAATATTCTTGCTTTTAGCTTTTTGATACGGCGTTCGCTTCGCCGGTCAAGTTAGCCTACCAAATACATAACATGTTTACCTACTACAAATACCGGCTGTTGTCTTTGTTGTTGTTTGTACATATCTAGGCGCGTGTAATCTTTCTTTTGTTTGTCAAGAGTGGCTAGAAATTAAATATAATTTTTTTGTGGCGCTTCCTTGCATACTACAAAATTGTTTATATTGGTTCACTGACAAGATTAGGTTGATGCCTTAGCAATTATCTTTAACTGATTACAAAGTAACTCGCATGGAACTGATACATTACAAAAATAACAGTTGTATTTACGTGCTAAACATTAACAAATAGGTAAAAAGTAATAATTTGACTACGTGACGCTACTCTTATACAAATTAGAAAGCCTACCGTAGCGGAAGTTAGTTAGTTCTTGTGGAAATTTTTGTAAGTTTTTCTAACTAATGTATGCATAAATATTATTATATACATTTTTATCTATACTTTTTGATATAATATAATTGAAATCTAACTCTAGTGCTACCAAACATATAGTTGAGGAATGAATACAAAGTACCACGCATTAAGTGTATGTATGTATGTACGTATGTATGTAGCTTAGGATTTAGTTTCCAAATTTGGCAGCGTCTGGCTTAAACAGAGATTTCCCAATTGTCTTATGAAACACGTTAGTATTTTTTCAATGAAATTATTCCATTGACCACTTAAACAATTGCCAACCTGGCCCAATTTTTTGTACATACATACACCCATAAACATATGTAGTACGTGACGTATGCGTCTATGTATAAAAACAGCTGTTTGAAATTATTGCTATAGGACTGGTGCTATCAGTAGAAAAAGTTTTAATTGATAACGACAGTCAATAATGTTCTTTTGTGTCGTTTTTCAGATTTACTTTCAATTACTTTTGATAACAATTTGATTTATATACAGTCTACTTTTTATATATTAGTTGAAATATTGCCATTAAATTCATGAGACTATGAAAATATGGACCTTTTATTAAAATTAAATAGCTTGTTTTAATGTGGAAACAACAAATGAAAACGTATAGAAAAGAATTTTTTTGTTTAATAGTTGTTATGTATTAGTAATATTTCGTTAAGGATAAAATTAGGTCATCCCTCGATACAATGTGTGTGTATTACGAGAGAGCGCTCAAAGAAAAAAAAAAAAAAATATATATATATATAATATCGCTCGAATGCTGTTTGTTTAAAGCATTTGTATGCACAAATATTTAAAAATAATTTAAAAGTTTTGTTAAACATATTGCAAAGATGGATGTGTTTTTCAAGCACGATAAATTCATTAAACACGTTTTAAAATATAATCTTAAATCGATTTGGATTTTTTGTTTAAAAACAGGTTAATAAGGTTTACTTAGACCAAAAAGCAAATGATCAGCAGCAAAACAATTAATAATAAATAAACGTGTATAATTAAGAAACGAAAATTCTGTTTGACTTTTGTTTCTCTACTTATTAGGGAACTTACAATATCAACTAAACCAAACTATATTAAAATATATGAAAAAGTAGGTAAACTTTCCTAAGATGCTTAATTAACCTTCCTATACCCGCGCCAAATGTCTTAACACCTATACCCGCGCACGGTGTGACAGACCGTGACTGTCTATAAAACCGTTTATATTTTTTTTTATTTTATAGGAAATATAGGATGTAATAAAACAAAAAATAGCAATTATTAA